GGACCTGGTGCTTCAGCACCTCAGTCAGTTGGGGCTTCAGGTCAACCGTGAGAAGAGCAAGCTCTCCCCTGGGTAGGGAATCTCTTATCTCGGTATGGAGTTAGACTCGGGGAGTATGATGGCACGTCTCACTAATGAACGTGCCCAGTCAGTGCTGAACTGCCTGAGTTCCTTCAGAGGCAGGACAGTGGTACCACTGAAACATTTTCAGAGGCTCCTGTGTCTCCGATGTGTTGCCGCCTATTCAGCCCCTGGTGCCCTTAGAACAAGTGCCCCTAGGCTGGGGCGCTACATGCAATGGGCAGGCAGCGTCGGGGTCCTGGACAGGACCTCGACTGCTTTGGCACATCAACTGTTTGGAGTTGTTGGCAGTGCATCTAGCTTTGCGGCAGTTCTGGCTGCTGCTGCTGGACAAGCACATGTTGGTCCGCACCGACAACACTGCAGCTGTTTCGTACATCAACCGACAGGGTGGTCTACGATCACGTCACTTGTCTCAACTCGCCCGCCATCTCCTCCTCTGGAGTCAGACACGGCTCATGTCGCTGGCGACTCTATCCCCATTCAGCTGAATTTGGGGAAGCTCAGGTGGACCTGTTTGCTTCCCACGAGTCCTCCCACTGCAAGTTGTACTATTCCCTGACCCAGGCCCCCCTGGGCACGGACGCACTGGCACACAGCTGACCTCGGGCTCTACGCAAGTATGCGTTTCCCCCAGTGAGCCTGCTCGCACAGACACTGTGCAAGGTCAGGGAGGACGATGAACAGGTCCTGTTGGTTGCGCCTTACTGGCCCACCTGGACCTGGTTTCGGAACTCATGCTCCTCGTGACAGCCCCTCCCTGGCGCATCCCCCTGAGGAGGGACCTCCTTTCTCAGGGGCTGGGCACCATATGGCACCCGCGTCCAGATCTCTGGAACCTGGACGGGACGCGGCAGACGTAAGTGACCTACCACCAGCAGTGGTACACACTATCACTCAGGCTAGAGCTCCCTCTACGAGGCATGCCTATGCTTTGAAGTGGAGTCTGTTCACGAATTGGTGTTCTTCTTACCGAGAAGACCCTCGGAGATGCTCGATTAGAGTCATGCTTTCTTTCCTGCAAGGAAGGTTGGAGCATAGGCTGTCACCCTCCACCTTGAAAGTGTATGTCGCTGCTATCGCAGCACATCATGATGCAGTGGACGGCCGGTCCCTGGGAAAGCATGATCTGATCGTTAGGTTCCTGAGGGGTTCCAGAAGGTTGAATCCTCCAAGGACACCCCTGATACCCTCCTGGAATCTCTCTATTGTCCTGGCTGGCCTTCAGAGGAGTCCCTTTGAGCCACTTGATTCAGTTGACCTAAAGTTCCTGTCTCTTAGGACAGCGCTCCTGATCGCACTCACCTCCATCAAGAGGGCCGGGGAACTCCAAGCATTTTCGGTAAGTGAAGAGTGCCTTGTGTTCGGGCCGCCCTACTCTCACGTTGTCCTGAGAGCTGAGGCCTGGATACATGCCCAAGGTTCCCACCACTCCCTTCCGAGATCAGGTGGTGAACCTGCAAGCGCTGCCCCCGGAGGAGGTAGATACAGCCTTGGCGTTGCTGTGTCCCGTAAGAGCGTTATGCATATACGTGGACCGCACACAGAGCTTCAGAAGCTCTGAGCAGCTCCTTGTCTGCTTTGGAGGTCAGCAGAAAGAGAAGGCTATCTCCAAGCAGAGGTTGGCCCACTGGATAGTGGAGGCCATCGCCTCGGCGTACCAATCCCAAGGCGAGCCGTGCCCCCTGGAGGTGAGAGCCCACTCCTCCTGGGCGCTGGCGCACGGCACCTCTCTGGCAGACATCTGTTGAGCTGCGAGCTGGGTGTAGAGCCGGTTTCTTCCCGTGTGTTGGGTAACATGTAATTGGCGGTAAGATCTGGCTCGGTGTCATGCTTGCTGTGCCATTCCCCTCTCACACGGGGATGCGAGCGCCTTTCTTCTCCCAGCAGATTTCCCCGGTTGGCAAACCCTGTTCGAGCATCCTCCAGCACCCCCGGCAGTCAGACTTGGTGGAGCATTCTGACGCCAGGCCCAGTACTGGTGTTTGCATGCCCGGTGTCCCGGCCAGCCCCTGTACTGGTCTAGGTGTCCATATGGCTTGACTCCCTACGGGTAATCCCATATGTGTATTCTTCCACGGTAAGATTTCCCTCTCTGTAAACCCGTGTCTTCCCTTGACAGACTCGCTCTGTCATTCTCTACTGACAGTTGTTCCGTCCCTACTCTAAGGTAGGACCTGCCTCAGAGACCCAATCCATATGTAGTACTGCCCTCTGGGTCAGTCCATATCAGTATCTCCACATGTCACCTCCCTACAGGTAGGATGTGGTCTCCGTAGCGACCTTTTCCTTAAAGCGATAGTTCACCCAAAAATGAAAATTTGATGTTTATCTGCTTACCCCCAGGGCATCCAAGATGTAGGTGACTTTGTTTCTTCAGTAGAACACATTTGATGATTTTTAAGTCCAACCGTTGCAGTCTATCAGTCGTATAATGCATGGCAATGGTAACAAAGTCTATGAGTGTAAAAAAAACATGCACAGACAAATCCAAATTAAACCCTGCGGCTCCTGACGACACATTGATGTCCTAACACACGAAACGATCGGTTTGTGCCAGAAACCGAACAGTATTTACATCATTTTTTACCTCTAATTCACCATGTCCAACTGTCTTTGTGCGCGCGCACGGCTTCCGGTGCGTGAGGCATGTATGCGCTCTGGCGTAGTTTTCAACACTTGGCGCTGACTTATAAGACTGATGGACTCCAACGGTTGGACTTAAAAATCATCAAATGTGTTCTACTGAAGAAACAAAGTCACCTACATCTTGGATGCCCTGGGGGTAAGCATATAAACATCAAATTTTCATTTTTGGGTGAACTATCGCTTTAAGGCTTGCTTCCCCATTGTTCTGCCAGGCTGAAAGAACAAATAGGAAAGATTTGAAGCAATCTTTAACAGAAGGTTGAAATCCCTTCCAAAAACTTTTTTGTGGATGGAACAGCAGTATGGCCTTCTCCAGCAGCGATGTACTCACAGTTGGTCCCCTTCGGTACCAAGGTCAGTGAATTTGCGCTGGGGCTTTGGGAAGGTTTGTCAACATTTGCAGCACCACAGGGTTGTGACGTTTTCTAGGAAAGATTTGAAGCAATCTTTAACAGAAGGTTGAAATCCCTTCCAAAAACTTTTTTGTGGATGGAACAGCAGTATGGCCTTCTCCAGCAGCGATGTACTCACAGTTGGTCCCCTTCGGTACCAAGGTCAGTGAATTTGCGCTGGGGCTTTGGGAAGGTTGCGACCTTAGCGTAGCTTTTGTGACACGCTATGGCTTGTCAACAATTGCGGCGCCACAAGGTTGTGACAGTGTTCAGGTTGTGCCGTTTTCCATGGACCCCATATCTCGTTCGACATAACTCGTAGTGACCAACAGATAGGGAACGTCTCAGTTAATGGTCTGTTAATACACATGATTTTCAGATTCATGTGTTTAATCATTAAAAAATATCTCATTGAGACTACTATAATAGTCAAATTTCAACACCAGCAGCGTACATAATAACAAACATTCGAGAGATCAGGGATATTTTGCCTACTGTAAATGGTGTGCTGAAACCCCCAGCATCCTGTTTATTTATAAAATCCAATTGTTAGTTCATGTCTCCATGTATTTTGGTCTGTGTACAGTACTTGGGGAAAGCAAAAGTGTTGAAGGAACTCTGAAACCAAATTAACTCAACATACGTAGCATTGTGTTTCTTCTGAATTCCTCACACTAATCCATTTGACTTAAATTGAACAAAAGTGACTTAGCATGCAAAATATAATGCTAAATAGTTGTCCCCCATATTCATGTAGTGGAATTATTATTCAGTTATGAGCAAGCATGAGGCAGGCAAACTTCATGGTTTTATTTAGCACTGCAACCTCTTTCTTTGAACAAACCTCACACGTTTGTGACTGGGAGATCCACATCCATCAAAAAGGCCAACGTGAGACTCTCTTAAATTCAGTAACTAGATGTGAGGAGGCTTTCGGTTTAAGAACTGTCACAGGAATGAGGTAAGCAGTGTTGTGATTTGTCTGATTACTTGAGCATGTTCCTCCCAAACCTTTGTTGGGAACTCTATTTGTTTCAGGATTTCAGTTCAGTATGCCTCAGTATTATGTCCTGTTCTAAAGCTAATTTGAAGCAGCATCTGTTGCAGCATCAATGCAAATGTGGATTTAATTTTGCATCCTGTTTTTCTTTGCAATAAATGGTAATTGAGTAATCTCATAAATTGAAAACCTTGAACTTTCACAAGATTAATATGTAGATAAAAAAATCCTACATTTTAGAACACATTCACATTCAGGGATTATCTAACATAAAAGGGTTATATTGCCAAAAAAAAAAAAAAAGTTAAGCAATCATCTATTGTCAGTTGATCAGAGGCCTTTCTTCAAGAGCCATGCAAAGCCGCTTTGTTAATAGAATAAATAACTATGGTTTGTTTGTTTTTTTCATTATGAAGCATCTGAGGGACCAGAACAATGAAATCAGTGTTTCTGATTGGAGTTCCACTTTCTGTTGTGGATAAACAAATTGTATCACATATAGCTGGTAATTTACATTCATTCAATTAAATGAGAAAATAGATAGATACTTGATTAGTAATTGGCTGGTTAGCTCTTATCTGAAGGAATCGATCACATTGTAAGACTAAAGGAATCAGTTTAAGGCTCAAAGCATCAGAGTGTGGCTGCTCTCAGTGAACAACGATAGTCCTTTAGTAGAGTGTTTCCCAACTCTGTTCCTGGAGGCATGGCAGCAATACACTTTTTTTTTTTTTTTACTTTTCCTTATCAAACACACCTGAATCAACTCATCAGCCCATTAGTAGAGACTCCAAAACATGAAATAGATGGGTCAGATTGGGGAGATATCCAAAATGTGTACTTTTTGGTGTACCTCTAGGAGCAGGGTTGGGACACACGCTGCTTAGTTCAGTCTTTTAAGAAATTTAAAGGAGCTCTGGGCAACATAGATCCCAGGGTCGCAGAGGCACTAAAACCCTCCACCATGTTACGGTGGTACTCCAAGCAGGGCTTGGATATTCATGGATATTATTCAGAAATAAGTTCAGGATGCGTTAAAGGAATGGAGGGTACCTAGTTTGAGAGTTATTTGTGTAAGATTCTGACCTTCAGGGACTTTCAGTATTTATTTTGCTAAGTAAAACATGCTCCTGGATCAGCATATTTTGTTTGTGTCCATTACGGTCCAAAAACATAGACCTAACCATATCCTTAAAGCTGACCCTACCCTAAAATCAGAGGTAAATGATAGCTGAATAACAAGGGTGTAGATGCACCCTTATCCCTCAAATCAACAAGGATGTTAATCCAGGAACATGTTGTACTTGGTGAAATCACATTCACCTAAAAGGTGGACAGCCAGAGGAGGCTTGGAGTCACTGCTTCTCTGCATCAAAAGGAGCTAGGTGGTGAAGGCATCTGGTCAGGATGTTTCCTGGAATCCATTATGTGGAAGTGTTCCAGGCATGTCCAACTGGGAAGAGACCATCGAGGAAAACCCAGGATGCGCTGGAGGGAATATATCTCCCAAGTGGTCAGAATGCTGCGAAAGATGTAACATCATCCTGTCTGAAAGAAACCTAAATACTGGGATATAAATCTGTGTGCAAATTCCAACTAGGAGTAGGACAGTCCTGCTCTGGGGTAGAGGAGAGAGTCCTGCTCTCTCCTTTCCCGTGGCCACAGGGATAGTTCTGGCTCCCCAAAGCTCAAGCTAGAGCAGCTCCTCAAAGACCGCAAAAGTAATTTTCATCTGTTTATAATTTGGCCTACTGATTAACTGAATGCTTCAAACTTTTTTGACATAGTCCTTGATATGGACTTTTTGTGTTTTGATATATTAAATAAATATATTAAATAGTCTCCTTGTGTCCACTAAGTAGTGCATATGCACTATGATTTTCAGGAAACAGTCCAGACTAACCAGTTAGTTTCTCCAACAGTGCATGTACTATGGTAGTTACATCATTGTTCAGGCTGAACACAAGAGTCTGTTATAGTAAAGGAGGACCATTAATAAGCATGGAGTTGATGTGGCTTTCAACTAGCCCTGCAGAGAGATGCAACCATATACAGATGACATTCAAATTACAGTAGGGACTAAAAATTGTTTGAAAATACAGTTCAGATGCTGTCTTGATGTTACAGTCTGCCTACAAGCAATTACTTCACCTGTAAGCAATTTTGGATGAAGAAAAAAAAGAAAAGCCAAATGAACAAATGCTCACAAGCATGTGGGAGTGCATTGGATTGCTTTGACAATGCTTTGAGATCACAAAACCTGATGCAACCCGAATTTATTATATCTAAATTCAGTATCCACCAGAAAAACTGAATCCAAACCCAAAATGCTGGAATGGTCAAAAAGTAGACGATACCCCTGAGCAGTTAACAGTGCTTTATTTATACACAATACATGATGGAGAAATAACCTTACTCTTTCAGCATTTTTTGTTTTTCTTAATGATACATCAGGTATGTTTGCTATAATCTAGAGCACCACAGTATGCAAACAACAGTAAAACTATGCAACTATGCAAAAGAAAATTGCAAGATTCAATTTATTAACATTGTTACAGTATACAACAATGTTTATTAATCTAGGATGATGTTAATTTATAAATATAGTGCTATTCATTGATAATTCTTGTTGGTTCATAATATTAATTTATACCACTGTAAATGTTACAAATGTATTAGTATACATAGAAATGAATATAAACCTAGATGAATATATTCTGTAAAACAATAAATCATTGTTATTTCATGTTAGCTATTGCATTATGAACTAATGTTAAATTAATGGAACCTTACTGTAAAGTGTTACCAAAAAAACACAAGTATGTCACAGAATATATGTAAGGAAATTTGGCATGTGCCAAAACATGCATCTAATTTCTTGAATCGAGAGATCAGATAGATCGACTGACCATTTGCAACAGTGAATAAATTAAAAACTACATTTCTGCTGGAAAGAAGACATCAACTCTGTCCTCACTTGAGGAATCCCCTCAACTGGAAACAGTTATATTGTATATGTATGAATCAAGCAGAGGTCAGAATTTTGCTTAGAATTTATTAGCAATGTGAAGAGCAGACATGGCCAGCATCACCAAACACAAATGGGTTTTAATAGCAGGCACAAAGACGTCCGTTTCAAGAGAGTTTAGAACACTGACTCAAATTAAAGGACACTTGAAATCCAACTCTTGATGCTGATGTAACTGTAATGCTGATGACCATGGTGGATTTCTCAAATTTAAATAACTTTCATTAATGTATCCTTGTGTTTAATGAAACTCTTTAAATATACAAGGCATTTTACTGGTACACCTTTTCACAACACTATTTACAACCGGTCAAGACATTCATATGAACCTGTAATAAAGCTCTTGATACAATTCCATTAGTTTGTTTTCTTACAGTTTTTCCACCATCTGACCAACACTTCAAGTAAATATAATTTGACTTTTGAGGACTCCCAATAGTGAGCACTAGCCAGGGAAGAAACTCTGACTCATCGAACACTGATATTTTGCTGTGCCCGTCCATATTTTGACACCTGGACAAACATATTGGCAGGCCAAAAACAGCAATGTGTTTTCTTCACCTGTCCAATGCTGATGCATGTGAGCTCTGAATTTCATGGATTTTAAGACACATTCAAAATGTTTGGTACAAACTGGGAAGAAGTTTATGAATTTAATTTTTAAAACTGTGATTTCTCCTATTGCAAGATATACCATGATCACATTCTCCTCTCGTGGGGACTGCCATAGAATGCACTGTATTAACAAACAATTACATACATATATTACATTATTATAACATTTAGTTACAATCATGTCCCAACTGCATTAATGGCAGTATTTCCATAGCATGGACAACTGTGAGGTGTGACTTAATGACATTCTGTCATTGAATGGCATTCAACTGAAGCAATGGATAAAAGAATAAACAGAAAATAAAAATAATATAAGAGCCCCAATAATCAAATTTAACACCATTGTACAAATAACTTACATAAACAATAAAAAATATAACTTACAAAAGTATAACACTCAATAAATAGTTCTACTATGTACACTTTTATATGTTGCTAATAGACGCAAATCACTAACATACGGAAATATGGAAGCAGCAAACATTACAGGCATGAGGTACAGCAAGAAATCCTATGGTGCTTACAGTAGTGTGTGTCAAACAGCCCAATGGCAACTTCTTTTAACAAGCCAACAAACACTCTCAGATCTGTATGCTTTGAGGGATTACTGATGTCTAAAATAAAGCAAAAATGATGAGTATTTGGCGTAAGTGCACTCAGAACTGGTTTGGTGTATTGGATTGCTGATTTGCACATAGTGATGGAGAAACATATAATAAGTCTGAGAAGAGTGATTAAAACAGGAAACATTAGGCAGTTAGCCGGTACATTTCTGAAAAAAAAAAGCATTGACTGACAGGCCTGCCAATCACAAAACCTGTCAGGAAATTGGCAAGTTACTTGATGTTTGTGCTAACTTGGCGACATGGTTGCTGATCAGTTTTGCTGTCCATCTTGGCAATAAATGCTGACTAATGTTATCTCGAGTACAGTTACATGATTTCAGGTAATAGTAACTTCATACACTTGTTCTCCCAAGAATATATAGCAAACAAAATATTTATACATTACTATTATTATTATTATTATTATTATTATTATTAGAATTCTTGTACTCTCGTGCTTCATATAGTTTTTTTGTTTCTTTTGGGTGTTGAAGTTCCTTCATCATCATGATCATCATCATCATCATAACAATAATAATAATAATACATACTTCAATCTAACTCACAAAATGGCTAATTAAAAAAATAATAATAATAACATCCGAACAAACAAACATACATACATATAACGACCCATTTAAAGTCTTAATTTTCACACTTTCTGAAACATAAATATTAAAGCCAGTTTTCCATTATCCCAAAGGTTTGTTCAGACAGGGCATATCATTCCACTAACCTGTTTCCACATGTCACGTTACGACAAAACCAGACGTGAAGCAAGTGGAACCACAATAATCATCAGTAATCACAGAGGCAAACGATAATATACAGTAAAAGGAAAATCAAACATTACTAATTTCACCACAAACACATATTCCCTCCCAAATTGTCCTGCCTAACAATAGCAGCGATTTTAGAAGTTTTAACTTTCGTTCGACTGGCTACCGAAAAAAAAAGTGCAGCAACTGAGGTCATTAATACAAATACTGACTACTGGTACATAAGATTATTATGTATTACTTTTTTTTTTCCTTTTTTAATTTGATATTTTCTTTAGAAATATAAATGACTGCACTCGTGACACCACAAGCACAATAAAAGAAAATATTGACTTCAGCATCTGACCATGAAGTCTTTATGCCACATACATGAGGACTCAACACTAAAAAAAAAAAAAAAAAAAAACACGATATGGTTGTCTGACTTTCTTCCAGATGTCGTTTCTTTTTTTTCCCCTTAATCATAAATGTCATAGTAACTATACTTTAACTACCATATATCTACAATTGCACAAAGTGATGCCCATTATTAAAACATCAGGCAAAATAATTTTTAATGCTTTAGCATGTTTTCCATGCCAATAAAACAGCCAATGTTCAAGGAGCCATTTTCCTTAGCCTTGGCCCGATCGCACTAAATTAATAACTTAAAGGAGAAGAAGACAAACCTTATCAGAAATGTTTTGTTCAATTTATCTGCATAAGCATGAATTTTTGCACCTGGCAAACTCTTCAGCAGGTGAGTACCACAGTAACATTATACTTATTTCTTTACCATGTGCTTCAGTATTATGGCTTGTGGCATTTTGAACGAACAGCCAATATAAGGGGACATCACGATAGACCAAAGGGGGGTTAAATTCAGCTCTTCCTAAAGAGTTTAGCTACAATCCTAATTAAACACACCTGAACCAGCTAGTCAAGGTCTTTAGGCAGGTGTTTTGGAGTAGGGCTGCAACTACAGTCTTCAGTACACACCTGATACAGAGTCAAACCTGGAGATGCAGACATTAGTGAGAAACTAGTTAAAACATTTTAAGGTCATAAGGGGAAGAACTATTAAAGGAATAGTTCTCCCAAGAATGAAAATGTGCTAAAATTTTACTCCCCCTTCAGGCCATGTAGATGGGTATGTTTCTTCATCAAAACGCCATCAGAATGAAAGTCCAAACAGCTAAAAAAAAAAAAAAAAAAATCACAATAATTCACAAGTAATCCACATGACAGTCCAACAATTAACATCTTGTGAAGCCAAAAGCTGCGTGTTTGTACTAAACAAATCCATCAAGACGTTTTAACTTCCTACCATTGCTTCTGGTTAAAACATAGTCCATAATCCATAACTGACTACCTGTATTAGTCCATAAACCATAATAATGCTTCCTCCAGTGAAAAGTCCATCACCTGTTGTGATGAAAAAATCCACCCACATTTTAGAGCTGTTTTGGACTTTGTCAGTCCACTCCAGTGCTTGATCTGCGCACATTTCTCACCTGATTCAGACCAGATTACTTTTTTTTTCTTACCAAAGACATACATGTTTTTGTATTTTAGATGAAAGCAATGGTTTGAAGTCAAAAACATACTGATAATGAGCTTTTATTCACTACACAAATGTTAATTGATGGACTGGAGTGGTGTGGTTTACTTGTGGATTGTTGTGATGTTTTTATCAGCTGTTTGGACTCTCATTGTGATGGCACCCATTCACTGCAGAGGGTCAATTGTTGAGCAAGTTATGCAATGCAATATGTCTTCAAATCTGATGAAGAAGCAAACTCATCTACATCGTGGATGGCCTGAGGGTGAGTAAATTTTCAGCACATTTTCATTTTTGGGTAAAAAGTAATAATCATTAAAGTGATTTTCCTGATTTTGAAATCTGATTACGATTTTGCATATATAAAGTAATTCCGATTACCATTAAGCTAAATTGTTTTCTTTTTTTCTTTCTTTCTTTTTTTTTTTTTTTTGGCAAAAACACATACAAGTGGTTAACAAGTTGGCACATGTGCAGTAAGTTACCTTTGAAACGTTTTTGACTGGCAGCAGATTCACTGAGATTTGAAAGCGTGCGTAAGAGTCTCCATTTGTCGTCATCATTCATATTACATAATCATGGTCAATTTAATAATGCAAAGCACCGCAGAAGTACCACAGCAGCAGTCCATAGTACTCATGCAGTCTTCTGAAGCTGATGGGTTTGTGTGAGGAACAGACCAAAGGTTAATCTGTTTTTAGTTGCTGAAAATGTTCCCCTCCATCAGAGCTCACAAATACCTTCCATGCTTGCGGTCAGATTGAAATATGGCACGTTTGGACGTCACACTACGCTTTGATGTCATTGGTTCTCATGTGTGTTGAAACCAGAGAGTGGAGAATGACATGCGAGATCTGCAGCAGACGGAAAGATTTTCTGTGAATATTCACTTTAATTTCAATCTCTTCATCACACAAGACCTGTATGGCTTCAGAAGACTTGTATGGAATACTGTTTTTTTTAATTGAACTGTAATTTTATGGAAATTATGTGCATATTTTATGATTTTTTTTTAAGTATTTCATACAGACAACAAAAATGAGTAAATGATAGAATCTTCAGATTTTGGGTGAACTAAGCATTTCAGTTAAATAAAAGGTTTATGACAATGGCCTCTACATTCAGGAATTTGTGTCTATTTTGCATTCGGACCAGACGAGTTACAATTCAGCACTGGCCCGGAGCTTTAATGGGAGGTCTTCGGTCATGGATGGTTATATTTATCAGAGGTAAGTATTAAGGCAGACTGACGGCACACTAGATCATGGCCTGCATATTCCTGTTGTCTGTTGTTTGACTAATTAGCAGCAATCGTAGCAGCAACAACAGCAGCCATGCTAAAGAAACCAATTCATTCTCACCATATTTATGCACAGATCTATCGGTGTGCATTTTAAATCAACCTCAAATTGCAATTATTTCATAACAGAATGTAAATAGTGTGCGACGAGACCTGCAGCTCTTCCCCATTGCGCATTTATGTTTGATAGATTTGCATCGTTTCAGGAACATTCAAATAATCACTGATTAGTCTTTAAAAACAACCCACAATCATGTGATTGCTCTCCCGCCAACTGTACGGTCCTTGTTTTGGGACCCAGTCTGCTTCTATAGGGACACAGGTGAGGGCGGAAACGCCACGCACCACCTTCCTGGGATGACTAAAACAAATCAAGTCCCCTAAACGATTTCGAGAGTGCGTTTCTTCTTTTTCTGGCTTTGGTCAAATCAGTATGGTTCCCTTGAGATGCCTTGCTTTAATTTTTTGGAGGGGTTGTGAGAGATCTACAAATGGCATAAGGCCGGGACACACCAAGCCGACGGCGAGCGACAGTCGGGTTAGTTTGTTTGGTGTGTTCCACTCGTCGGCTCTCGTCGGGCTCACGTCGGCGACAGTTTGCCTGATTCAACATGTTGAATCGGCGTCGGGGCCGTCGGCGTGAGTGAGAGCTCTGATTGGACGTTCAGTTTAGCGAATGAGTCAGTGCCCGAGAACTAAAGCGAAAGTGATGAAAACTAGCACGTAAATGAAGGCGGTACAGAGAAGGCTGTTTAAATGTTACGTGATCTTTCCCAATCAATCTAATACGCAAATGTTTTCATAACAACATGAGCCGCTTAAAATTATTAAAGTTATCAATGTTACTGATATTCAAATTATTGGTGTTCGAGTGCAGCTTTTTGATCCGACGCTGCCGACATGAGGCGACAACACAGTCGGCTTTCATCGCCGCTAGTTCTTTGAAGTCGGCTTGGTGTGTCCCGGCCTATACACAAACCAGCTTTGGTCCTTTGTGGGGTCTTGACATTGGGATCCTTTTCCAAACGTAGTGTAAGAGATAGCAGGTAGACTCGGACTTGGAAATGATAAACAGCTATAAGAGGAGAGGTACAACTGTGAAGCAGCAGCATTTCTGGGAAGAAGATCTCATCCTGTCCCAGTCTGTGCACTGGCTTGGTGGAGCGTGTTAACCAAGTGAGTGCAAGTGCTCTCCCTTTCGCTTCTCCAAGGCGTTGGGGTCCCGACAAGCGCACTCTCTTCGGATGTCACAAGACATGGGGAACGGAATCACCTTGAAGGAGAAAAGAAACACATGTTAAAACATACAAACCAAAAGGTTCAGAGTAGAAACCCAGAGTAGGTTTTCACAGTGATGCCATTGAAACAGGGGTGTCCAGTTTCTTGAAGGCCACTGACTTGCAGAGTTCAGCTTCAACCCTAATTAAAAACACATGAATCAGCTAATTAAGGCCTTCAGACTTACTAGAATCTTCCAGGCAAGTGTGTTGGAGCTGGCTGTAGCTAAACTCTGCTCTGCACCATTTTTAATAGAACAATGTTATTTTTTCTTCATTTGAAGAACATTTTAATAATCTGAAGAACTTTTTTACACTATTTGTGGGATGGAAAGGGTCATGGATGTTAAAGGCTTTGGAACTATTGATGCCAACAAACATCCTTTATTTTTAAGAGTGTAATGACAGCTTACATCATTGGTCAAGACGTCTGGACTTGGCACTGACTTGAAAAATTGATGAGCCCCATGGAGGGATTGAAAATATAATTTGAATGTTGTTTGGCACTTCACGTCACAATTGAATGTTGGCAGAGCATCACTGACACCACCTGCTGCATAGCGGCCTCCCTCGGGACAGGCCTCAGCTGCTTTTCAGGATAAAATGCATCTCCAGTCGCTCAAAACTAGGACCATATGTGCAGTTCACATTTGCTCATTCACGGAACCATTTGTCTTAGCCTCAGCGACTGAACAGACTGATTTGTTCATGGCGTGAATTCATATGCAAATTTATCTTGGTGCACAACAAAGTGGACTTTCTAATTCATAGCATCGATTATGGAGTAATACCCTGCCTTTTTGTACCTAAAAACAGATGAGGGTTTGAGTCAAGGCCAAAGTGGAAGCACTTCAGTATGAAATCTGGCTGCAGAGACATTAGCAGGTTGATTCCCTTGAACACTGCAGACATTATTCACATTCATAATGCGAGTAGGCAATTAAACTCATGTAAACAGAATACTGTGATTAAGTTAATGTGATTATACTCATAATTAGAGTAATGATAATTGCAGTAAGGTACGTGGAGTACTGCTATTATACAAATTATCTTAAACCTTCTTCAATGAAAAAAAAAAACAGTCCACCACAGTGTACAAAACAATTTCCCTGGCTAGAAGATAAACACTGAAACTAATATTGCAATAATATTTAATTACACTGTGGTCATCTTCACTACATTCGACAACTGGAAAATGGTGCTGTTTGCATTTTTATGAAACGAGAGCGAGTCCATTATGCTGATGATACTCAACTATATATCTCAACAAGACCAGATTAAACTTCTAAATTATCTAAGCTAACAGAGTGTGTTAAAAATGTAAAAGATTGGATGACCAATAATTTTCTCCTATTAAATTCTGATAAGACCTATATATTACTTATTCGACCAAAAAACAGTACACAGAATCTCTTGGATTACAATTTGCAACTAGACGGATGTACTGTTACTTCCTCTACAGTAAGACCTGGTAAGGACAATAATGATCATATTACCCCGATTGTACAGTCTCTGCACTGGCTACCTATTAAGTTCTGTATCAGTTACAAAATATTATTACTTACATATAAGGCCCTTAAAAGGTTAGCTCATGCGTACATAAATAGTCTTCTACCATGCTACAATCCATCCCGCTCCCTAAGGTCGCAAAACTCTGGACTTTTGGTAGTACCTAGGATAGCAAAGTCCACTAAAGGAGGTAGAGTAATTGATTTTTCCGTACATTTCTGCCATATTTACATTAACTGACAGTCACCACTGATAAGCTACTACTAAATATATTGTAGAAACTTAATTTTCTGTAAAGTTGCTCTGCAACGATTTGTATCGTGAAAAGCACTATACAAATAAACTTGAATTTAATTGAATTTAATTGAATTGAGTCTGTAGTGTGATCAGAGAGACTTAAAACTATCACCGATTTCAGTTACCTGGAGGAATGGACTGATACACAGTTTTACATGGATGACAGTGAATATTAGAATATTATAATCAGCATAAAGTATTACAGAGAGCTACATAAAAA